TTTCTTGGTGTGTGTGTGTGTGTGTGTGTGGGGAGTGAATGAAGTAAGTTCTCTTCTCTCCTCAGTCTCGCTTACCAACATTGGGGACAGATGATCGGGAACATTTTAAATTGACTCGGCATTCTCAGGTACGTCGAAGATGAATGTGGCGGAAATTTCGTTTGATTAGTGTTATAAATGAGTTTTTTCTTTCATCGGATAATCATTTTCTTCTCTCATCTCTGATCCTTTTGGGTTTAGCGCTTAGTTATGATTATAATAATTATTTCATCTCTTTTTCATAAGTACATAGTAAAGAATGAAGGAACACTGCGATATGCCTATTTGCCCATGCTAGGAAAGTCTAACTCTTTCAAATACTCGTATACCCGACCATTTTTAAACGCCTCGGAAGAATTTGCCTCGATGAGACTAGTTTACCCCTTGTTCAGTTTGTACACCACTCCATTGCCAGTTCAGTGATTTCTCATATGCTTTCTGTACACGAATTTGTCGGAGTCTAACTTCATTAAGTTTTGCCTATATTAGAAGTTTTCAGCTCCATATTTATATCTTTATTACGACTCTCTTCCATTTGAGGCTAGCGTAATTTTTCATTATAGACATTTAACCACCTGTGAAAACACTTATATCTTTATTGTCCGTAATTTCTTGCCAACCAGTGGTATGTAAAGGACGATGGATTGAAATCATCTCTAGCTACAAGGGACAGTTACTTCAATTCCCCTTCAGGCATCTTCCACCGATTTTTTATGTTTTTCCTATGTGTTAGTGATAAAGCCTCTGGTTGGCGAAAAATTTCCACAGTCAAGATACCCAAGTGTTGTACAGGTGTTTCATCCTTCTAACTTTGATTTTCTAAACCATTAACAATATTTCATTGTACGAGTTTGAACAGATTGTAAGATCAACGCCTTTCAATATTTGTTTTAAAATGTTCACACGTCTATTAAGATTATCAGTTTTTTGAAGTCCACTTGCACACTTATCCACATTAAACTGCATCCGCCACTTTCCCAACAACATTAACCTATCCATAAATTTCAAGCTCTCTCGTGTTCTTAATTTATTTCCTATCGTATTTTTGTATCACTGACGAATTTAGAAATTGCATGCTATGTGTATCCTCGTCTGAATTATGTACATTGTAAACAACTATGGGCCCAGCATCAAGTCCTGTCGCATCCCTTTGTGATTTCTCCCTTTTACGCAAACTCTTCTACTTATCAGTTATTATTATTATTATTATTATTATTATTATTATTTATTATTATTATTATTCATGGGGAAACATTAAACCCGTAAGTGTCATACAGCGTCTGTGAAATAGATAATCAGATTCCATCCGAGGAGGAGGGTGATTCCAATTAGTGAGATCAAAAGCCCTTCGCCATCCCTGGCTATTGCTGTCATGTCTCGATCCAACTGAATTTCTCTTTGTGTACCTTGCAAGGTCAACTCGTTTTAATTTGCTTCATGAATTGTACCCTGTCCCAGTCTTCATCCCAACTCCAGATAAAACAGCGTTGTACTGATATATTTAGATTTTGTCTTCGAAGCGGCTAGTTTGTGCACCCCATATTCATCCTACTTGGAGTCTACCTGGAGGGTAGACTGGTCCGGCACCGACTTTAGGTATCTGTCTAGCTCCCTCTTGAAGACAACCAGGGATCTAGTGGTAATGCCACTTATTGCTGGTGGCGATAGCGCAAGAACATCTTATACACAAGGCCTACAATCTTGGCCCCCAAAAGGGTTTAACAGGAGTACATCTGGATTTATATCTACAATTATCTTTTCTGTTGCAAGCAAATTTAGGCTGTTTGCTTAATATGTCTGGTATCTTATTTTTTTTTAAATACCTTTGTAAAAATCAATTCAAAATCATTCATTGACTCGGTTCATTCTTGGATTTCAGTGACTCTTGAATGATATTGATCAGAATGACTTGGAATTGCTAATGCTGTTACCAGTTATAATGAACTTTTATACCCCGGCGAGGTCTGGCCGAGTGAGCGAGAAGTTGGAACTATCACGTTGGCCATCTTCCGCCTAGCATGACCAGTGGGTCTATTATTGTTGAATTCATGGGAGCGCTAAACCCGTAGGTCATACAGCATCAGGGGAACAGGAGAGGAGGGAGGTAATCTTCAATTCAAGAGAAGGATGGTTAACATTCTTTGGCTCAGTACTCCTTCTCTGAATCGAGTCACCTCTATAGGGGTCAGCAGGTCTAGTAGACCGCGTAGCATGAACCATCTTGGATTTCTTTTTTGTATGCATTAAGATAAGAGATCATGCAAAATCCTGACAAAATATTAAGATAAGAGATAATATTGTGTAAGGATTTTTAACCGGGAGAAGTGTGAGTCACCTAGGATAACCCAGTGAAGTCCGTGCTTCATCGGGACTGCCTGTCTTATTTCCGCAACAGTCGGCTAACATCCAGGTACCTACTTACTGCTAGGTGAACAAGGGCAGCAGGTATAAGGAAACGCCCCACGTTTCACTCGTGCCAGGGATCGATCCCCGGTACCTAAATTTGTGAGCCGAGGACGCTTCCATCATCGTGGGCGCGTCTCTGCATGTTATGTGGACATATGGACCAATGAGCGCTTATGGAAGAATGTGTACTCACCTGTATGTAGTTTCAGGGGTTGAGGTTCAGCTTCTGGCTCCGCCTCTTCGCTGGTCGCTTTTAGGTTCACTGTCTCCTACCTTAGAGAGCTTTATCGCACCTCTTAAAATATGTACGGATCCTGCTTCTGCCACTTCACTCTCAATATAATTCCACACCCTGACTATTAAGACTGAAGAAATACTTCCTAACATCTTTATGACTGTGTTTTCAACTTCCAACTGAACCCTCGTGTTCTTGTTCCCTATCTCTTAATCGTCTCTGTCCACCCTATCAATTCCCCTCTGTATTTTCTACGTTACCATATCGCCCCTAATCCTTTTTATCTCTAGTGTAACCAGGTTGAGTTCCCTTAACCTCTTCTCACAGGACATGCCCGTTAGCTTTGGGACTAGTCTCGTTGCAAATCTCTGCACTTTCTCCAAATTCTTGACCAGGTGTGGGTTCCATACTGGTGCTGCATACTATAATATGGGCCTGATGTACACTTCTTACTCAGATTTCTGAAAGACTTGCCAGACTCATTTGCTGCATGCAGTTATTCAAGTGATGGGCGCTTCTGGCGATATGCTTGGTACAGTACTCAACCCCAAGGTCCACCTTGAATGAGGTTTGCGGCCTTTTCCCCCCTACCCCCGAGCCTGTACTGTGTGTGTGTGTGTGTGTGTGTGTGTGTGTGTGTACGTGTGCGAATATGTATTTGACTCATGTGTATTTCTGGCGGGGTAGCCATGTGCGGCCTTGCGTGAGTCAGACACGTGCACACATGGAGGTGTACATAGCTTCTCTTTGATGTGTCACAGGCTAAGGGAAAAGAGTGGGCCTGGGGTCGGGTAGGGGGTACTAGTGCAAAGACGAAGGGAAAGAATTTAGGAGTTGGGTGTAAAGGGGAATTTAAATTAGTAGTTTTAAACTAGCGGGATGGGCTTTAAAGTTATCGAGAACAAGAATTTTCAAGCTGTGGGGACAGGTTATGTTTTTCAAAGCATCGAGTAGTAGTCGGCTATAATTATGTTTCTGAAATTGTGCTGTTGTAATGTTGTAATGAAGATAAAAATTAAGATTATTATATCACAAATATATATATATATATATATATATATATATATATATAATATATATATATATATATATATATATATTATATATATTATATAGTAATGCAGATATGGCAAACCAAGCGATACAGGATGGAAAACAACCACGGGGGAGTAGAATGATAGCTCTAGGAATTCAGTGTTGCAATCAACACATTAGGAGCTTGCAAAGTTGCAGAAAGGAGGAGGATAGCCAAGCAAATACGATCCCAAATTACGTCTTCACTGACTAGTGAAGACTTCCTTTGGGATCGTATTTGCCTGGATGACCTCTTTTCTGCAGCTCCTGATGATGTGTTGACTGCAACACGAAAGGCCTAGAGCTATTATTCTACTCCCACCGTGGTTGTTTTGCGCATATATCGTGCCGAATAGGTATAGCTTAAATAGCAACGCTCTTCTTGCCGAATAAAGCAAGCGAAAATTTGTGTATGCAATAATTTCGAAAAAAATCATTCGGAACGTAACGAAAAAAATACATTTCATTGTGTTTGTTTATTATTAAATTATTATAAACTTCTCTTAAAATATATTTAGTTGGATTACTCTAAATTAAATTGCACTTGTTACAATAAGGTTAGGTAAGTTTCCTAAGGTTCTTTTGGTACAAAATTGTTAATTTTTACTTTAACATAAATGAAAAAAATATATATTTAAACGTATAAGAGAAAATTTTAGAAATTACTTAATTTTAAATGAGTTCTTGCTAAATGAAATGACCAATTTTATATATTCAGCACGATATATATATATAATATAATATATATATATATATAATATAATATATATATATATATATATATATATATAGTGATAATAATCACAGTCTCATATAATCAGTGAGATACTACTGTGTTTTCGCCACTTTATTCTTATATAATAGTCTGTAATAGCCTTTGGTATTCTGCCCAGTGACGTGGGTTATGTTAGTCATCCTCGTCAAAGTACTGTATCTATTTAATGATGTATCTAACCAGTGTTCTTGCATATTTAGTCAGAGCCGGTTTAGTTAGCCCTTAAATGAATTACATACTAGGACCATGCAGCACCTCGCTCCGTCCTGTACCATTGTAAAGTCTAGCCTTCCCCACCTCCCTTCTCCAATTTTTTTTTTTGTAGCATTATTATATTCATGGACTAGCGCCTTCTTGGCTGAAGAAGGGGTTGGTTTGTCGTAAATGATTCAAACCACTATATTGTGTCTTGTAATTCGTTTTTAACTTGGAGTTGAGCTGAATCCTAAAGTGCTTTCTTTTTTGTTTCAGAGGAAGCTCGTGAGTCTGGCGTGGGTGTTCTGGTGCACTGCCTGGCTGGCATCTCCCGTTCCGTAACCATCACCGTCGCCTACCTCATGTACAAGGAGAAGCTGAACTTGGAAGAGGCCTACGAGTACGTGCGCGTCAAGAAGGCCAACATCGCCCCGAATTTCAACTTCATGGGTCAGCTGCAAGACTTCCAGCAGCAGCTGAACCTCTCCCCCCACAAGTGCCAGTGCGTGTCTGAGTGCCGCTGTCGTCATCTTCACTTCCTCACCCCTGCCCGCACTTCTCCGGACTCGGGCATCGAATTCGACCGCTTCTCCTGAGGACTGACCCCCGCTGCCTCCACTCCTGCCGGCGGCTTCTCCAGGCTCGCAATAGAGTCACCACAGTCGCCCTCCACGTCGCCGGCAGGTCTGCAGGCAGTGGCCTCCTCTTCGGGGGAGGAGGAGGAGGAGGAGGCTAGACAGGAGGAGAGGAGTGAGCAGGGTGATGGAGGGGAGGAAACAGAAGAGGATAACCTCCCTACCTGATCCGGCGGCGATGGCCTCATTCAAGTGCCAAAGGTGAGCCTCCCCTTCGTCGGCCCCACACCTGCCTCGGGTGGCCCAGGGGAAGGGCTGTGGGGTGCCACACACGACGGCGGGGCAGACCAGCACCAACCTGCGGCCCCCTCGCCATAATCCAAACTCCCAGGTACAAATTTCTCGACGAGTGATCTCGCTTCTTTCGGGGAACTTCGGCGGACGGTGACGGCAGGCGGAGAGGCGGCCATGTTGCTTCCTGCGAGGCTGTTTACCAGATGCTGGTTTCATTCACAGGAAAATATCTCTTATTTTTAAGGAGGATTTGTGAGACTGTTATGTGGAAGTGTGTGGTGGAGGGAGCCACAGTGGCTCTGACCAGTGTGTTCTTCAGGGGAACGTTCAGCCAGTGTGAAGTGCTATGTGAAGTTTTGCAACTCGACTCGGTTCGTACAAACTCAGTTGCCAGGACATCCAACACTACCACAAGGTAGAACTCAAAAAATATTTATTAAGCAACAAAACTTAATGTTAAAAAAGTGATATAGATCTCACAGTATTTTCATACCAGTTATGAAGAAGAAAAATCGTTGTTGGTGATTTTGTTTTCCCCCTTCTGGAAACAAAGACAGTTGTTTTTAGAAGGTCAGACTGACAGCCTTGTGTGTTGTACATCAGTGTTGTTGGTCGTATGCTCAACGTGTAGCAGACTATCTCCTTCAGTTCCCGCTGACGCCTTCTGAGAGCCATCATCTACCCGGTCCTTACAGGGATTATCCCTCCAGCTGGATAATGTTGGTGTTCCTGGGTCTCTAGCAAGTATGCAGGAACCTAGAAAACACTCCAACTAAAAGTGTATAATGGGGCTTAAATAAGGTTGTGAGGTTACCCAGGGAACTCGACCACAATGCTGGGTTTTCTGGAGCCTTCAGCATGGGTGGGGGACCCGGGAACATGTGCTAGCCAAAATATAGGATGTAGGACATTCAGTGAAGCTGGAGAACCCTGAAATGCGCTTCAGCCAAAACACACATTTATACACGCACTAATACAAAGATTCATACAACACATAATACCATACACAGGTGTGTGTTGTCGCTGAAGATGCCAGGAATCCGTATGATGTGTTTGGTTTCTCACTTGTAAATTGCTTCATGCAGAAATTAACAGACAGCTTAAAAATTATATGGAATAGACTATGTACAAAATTTTATATAATTTCTCATGTATCAGTTAGTCTTGTTTTTTCCTTTTTTGTGGAAAGAAACCTAATATATTTTTAATGTGCAACTCAAGCGGCCAATGTGTGCTTTTTACCAATTAGTGAAGCGCTGTCTACAGTGTCCATAGTTTATATTGTTCATATCAACGCTCAAATGGCGGAGTCAGTGGAGAGTGGACCAGGGACTAGGAGTTAGGTGATTCTCACTTGACCTCCCTAAAATTAAGGTCTTAAACTCCGACACCCATTCCTCGGAAACCGCCCTACCCCAACCCAAAATTTAACACCCCCATTTCCCACCCTTAACGTCGTTAGCCCCCCTCTCGTACCCCGATGGTTAACAATACCCCCTCCCCCCCTTGGCCTTTTATCCCACCCCTAAAAATATTCATTGACGCTTTGATACAAAAAAATAAAGTTATTCGCACAATTCTTGGAGGAGTGGAACCTGTGGTCTCCATGACCTCTGATCAGTACATGTTATACATGTTTTGTAGCCTCAAGTGCCTTGAACCAATCCTTTCTTTGTATATTTTGTGGAAGCTGTATCTTTTTATGTAACTAGTTCATCCATGCTCATACAAAATGATGGGTACATGTGTATGTATATAATAGTATTATATAATATATATATATATATATATATATATATATATATATATATATATATATATATATATAATATATAATATATATATATATATATATATATATATATTATATATATATAATGGCTATCAATAGTATTTTGAAATTCCCTAAACTGACTTGATCACATCAGTGATCTACCTACCCAACCTCCCATCCCAGCCCAACGAATGATAAGACGGTGGTGTCACTTGCCTTGATGGTTAGGTCTGTCACACTCGGTGATGTTAGAAGATTTTGCACACATCTGCCAATCAGTATTGTTAGAGGATTCACATTTTAGTCAGTATTGCCCCTACCAATCAGTATTGCTAGATGATTCACACATTTAGAGTAAACTTAACACACTAATATATCTAAGTCAGTTACTGATTGATAACACCTTCCAGCCAGTATCGTCTAATGATCTAATCACTGATATATATCACATTTACCTTTTATTAGGATTCACCATACATTGACGCCAGACACGGTGATAGGGGAGGCACAAGGCTGGTAGTCTTACAGGTCCCTGCTCAACCAACAGTATTTCCCTTCATTTAATACCTATAAGGCTACTTTGTTGGGTGCATTAGGACATTGGCAAAAGCATCAGCATTTTCAAATGTCCAGCAGATATGGGAAATTTTTAATCAAAAGTGATTTTTTTACCCCGTTTAAATAGTGTCTAATATATATATATATAATATATATATATTATATATATATATATATATATATATATATATATATATAATATAATATAATATAATTTGGTTTGCTATTACTGAACGTTGTCCATTTGCAAATCTCGGGTGACATTCCTGTTTTTATATATTTGCAGAAAGCGGAATTAGGTAGCACACTTTTTTATACGTTTTAAAATAGAAGAGATAATTTGTAGTGTCCTTTTGATATACCTCTGGTTGTTAAAGACCTTTTTGTTCGAGAGTCAAAGGTACAAGCACTTACAAAGCCATATTGAATGCAGAGTACTGCTGGTGGACGTGTATTTAATCACACATGAATAGTACTGCTTCTGAAGTGTGTATGTTATTGTCCACGAGTCATCAGTGCTGTTGCTTATGACGCTACAAGAACATGGTCAGAACTGATGTATGTATTGTGATATATTTGGTCAGAACTGATACATTTATTGTGGTATACATTGTCAGAACTGGTACATATGTTGTGGTATACGTTTTCAGAACTGATACATATATTGTACGTGGTCAGAACTGATACACATATTGTACGTGGTTGGAACTGATATATATATATTGTGGTATACGTGGTCAGAACTGATGCATATGTTGTGGTGTCTTTTGTCAGAACTGATACATATGTTGTGGTATATACTTTCAGAACTGATGCATATATTGTGGTATGTTTTCAGAACTGGTAACATATGTTGAGGTTTACTTGGTCAGGACTGATACATATATTGTAGTATACATGGTCAGACCTGACACACATTGTTTAACGTGGTCAGAACTGGTACACATATTGTTTTTTTTACACAAAGATGTGAATTTTTAATGCTCATGTTATACACAAACATGGAAATGCTAGTAATAACTAAACAAAAAAAATGTTTAATATATACATAAACTGCTGGACTCTTAAACAGTTGAATTCTCCATCCACTTATCTTCTGTATACACACATCCATCCATCCGCAACCCACCATACTTACTTGACAGCTTCCATGTTTCTCCTATCGTAGCAATACGTTATATATTATTGTCAAGAGCCTCTTGACAGCCAGGCAGGATAGTCTTAGGTCAAGAAAAAAAAAACTGTAAGCGAGTGTTGTCTTGCAAGCGAGTGATAAGAATTTCTTGGTCTGGTCGCTGCCCTATCTTCACCAGCTGGTATTTGCATTTTGTCAACGAAAGCCTAGTGTCTGTGAGGATGTTAATGCTGTGTGTGTGTGTGTGAAGTTCATTTGACAATTGCGCATTAAAACTAAATTTCCCGAAGAATGCATGAGGCATTATTTGCTGACAAATAGTGTTGAACAGGGCTATGTGCAGAGGAATTATTTTTTATAGGCTACATGTTGCTCTAGACAGAGCTTCAAGTCAGTGATTGACTGGAGAAAAGCTCTGTTTAGAACGAAACTTAATGTAGTTTATAAATCAAGGTCTGTGCCGCACATCGTGTATCAACAATAAGTCACAATACCGTGACTGCCACAAATCACAATTAACCAACAATTTTGAAAGGAAATTCGAGACTACTGTTTTTTTTTTTCCTGTCCGTCCTGGACCATTTCTCACGTGTATAGAATGACTAAGAGGCTGGTGAAAAGGGTTTTTTTCGACTAGTATTTATTGTATAGCTCAAGCACAAATAATATTTTTTGTTTGGCCTAGTGAGCTATTCTACCCGGCTGTCCCCTAGCTGCGTGGGTGTCAGAAACTAAAATATTCTTTTTGTTACTGATACCCAATTAGTTAGTTTATCATTTCCCAGAAAGAGAGAAAGAGAGATGAGTCTTCTATTTTGAATTGATTAAGATATAGATGAAAAAAAAGAAAAAGATTTTTGTAATAGTATTTACTGTTAATGTTATTGCTCTATTTAACTAGGAATATCGTTATAACTATCTGTATAGTTATTTTTAATATAATTATGATTACTGTAATTAGAATCATTTATATAGTAAATAACGAGTCCTTTTTTTAAGTTTTTAATGTAATGCAATAAACAAGACAAGTTTTATGATTATGTTATCCTTTCTCCTATTTATTTCTTTAATTACCATTTTTTTTTTATTTTCATTTATTAGTTTTCCCATATCCTGCACACTTTTTTGTAGACCTTTTTTTTCTTCTGCAAGTGTATCTCAGTATATAATATATTGCCAAAAATTTTTAATTTTCTAAATGACAATCCGCATTTTCGTTAGGTAAATCATCTCAAAATTTTATATTTAAAATTCCAGTCTTGATATATATTGAATATTTTAATCAGTATCTATAAATTGCCTATTATTTTCAATTTCAAGTCCTTTCTCTTTTCGTCTTGATCTATTTCATCTTCGCTTATATATAATATATATGTATATATATATATATGTATATTATATGTATAATATATATATTATATAATATATATGTATAATAAAAAAAATATATATATATATGTATGTATATATATATATATATTATATATATATATATATATATATATAATATATATATATATATATTATTATAATATATACAACACACACACACACTCTTGCGTGTAGAAACCGACAAACTTTGGTGCGTTTATATATATATATATATAATATATATATATATATATATATATATATATATATATATATATATAATATATATATATATTATTTATATTAATTTTTTTTTTATTATATTTTTTATATTTTTTTTTTTTTTTTTTTTTTTCATTTTAACCCCGTTAAGTAATGCTTTTTTGAGGTTTAATTTCCCACTTTATATAGTTCTCTAAGTTTTTGTGTTCCTCTCCCCTATACATAGTTACCACCTTGTCGTGGTTCACTCCTCCCATAGCCAGTATCTTATTTATCTTTTTGCTTTGTATAGGGATTGTTTTAAAAACCACTCCCCATTCATGTTCTTATTTTCTAAAACAGTTCTACCTACATTTTAGGCACTGGGTTCGTTGTTTTTCTTTGTCTATTTTTTTTTCTTTCCCTTCATTTTGTTGGCCCAGTTTGTACGACCTTTTTTAAACCCCCCTTGCGTTAAAACAGGGGGGGAATTTCTAAAAATTTTCAAATTTAATGTTTACAAATGAACCTGCTTGTTTACCCTGGACACCCAAAGGGTGAAATTTAGAAAAACCCAAATTAATATAAATTTTAAATAATAAGTTATATAAAATAATATAATATATATATATTTTACAAAAAGTATATTTTCATTTTAAAATATATATAAATTTTATTTTATATATACATATGTATATAAAATATTTTATAAAATATATATATATATATATTATATATATTTAATATTATATTATATATATATTTATAATATAATTATTATATATTATTATAATATGTTAAAATATATTTATTAAATATTATACAAAATTGGTAAATTCAAGAATATGAAAAACCAACCCACTGTGAAAGTAGCGTTATTAATTTCGTGACAAAAGGCTTGGAATTTCACTATCTTTCACAGTATTTGGTTTTTTTATTTATATATAAATATATTATTTTTTTTAATATTTTTTATATATCGCACTGTATGACCCTTATGGGTTTAGCGTTTTGATTGTAATATATTTTTTAATGTGGGGACCCGTACGGGTTTAGTGCCCCCCAGGGAGTAGGGGAAAAAAGGATGAGACACAGGAAACGTGAGTTGGTTAAAATTTGAAACCAGTATACAACAGGTAATCTTGTCTACAGTCACAGCGGAGTTAACAGTCCCATGCGTATGGAAGTAAAAATAAACCCATGAAAGAAAATCCTGATGCGCACCTTTTTTTTTTCCTGCAGAGTGCAATGCACCTTTTTAACCCCCCCCCCTTCCCCTTGCATCCTCAGCAGGCACTATAAGAATGGAGGAAACTGCAGAGGGCCTAATGGCCCATAAAAGGCGGTTCTTATCTGTGTCCATTTATTAACTTTTGTAGGTAATTGTCCATTATTACCCATGTTAGGTTCCTAGGATTCTTTTAACTGCCTTGGCAAATAAAAACCCTGTGCAAAATTTTTCTACCTCCCTACTATTAGTACCCCCCCTAAGGAAGGCCCTTGACGTGGGAGGGGCTTTGATTAGGGAAGGGGATCGTGCTCCAGTTCCCTAAATTAACCCGAATCCCTTCCCATCCCCCCAAAGGGCTGTATAATCCTACGGGTTTAGGTTCCCCCCTTGATTAAAATTAATAATACTTGTACCTATTAAAAAAAGAATACTAAAACTGTTAAAGGTTTCGGGGGCAATAAAAATCCTGGGGGTGGTGGAG